CACCTTCTCAAATACTCCTACCAAGAAAAATTGGAATCCTTGCAAACTTTGCCTCCAAATCTCTTTCTAGCAAAATGGTCTAGAGCAGCAGTTCCTAATGTTTGGTCTTCAAGGTGTTTTGGACCTCAAGCTCTCAGAATTCCTAACTGGTGAGCATTCTGGAAGATGAAGTCCCAAACACCTGGAGGACCAAAGTTTGGTTTAGAAGATACTATGGTTACTGGTACTGAAAGGTTCTGAGATGTCCTGTTGAAGCAAGAGGGAAACAGTGACCTTGTTCAGTTTCTAGTGCAAATTGGCCACCAAGGCAACCGAAGCAGTTTATATTCTGAAAACAGATAGAAATAGTTCTAAACAATCCATCTCACCCAGAATTCCCTGGACCTGAGATGCTTATGCTAGTTATTGGTTTCATGGAGTTACAATACAAAAAAAAATGTGTTTTTTGCAACCTCTTCCCAAGGCAAAGATGAGGCTCTATAGATAATATGCTGGTCCAAAACTCTATGACTCTAGTAATGTTTGACAACACTAACTCAAGAACCTGCGGTTTAAAGGAGAGATGGAAATTACAGATGGCCATCTGTCGGGGATGCTTTGATTGGGAGTTCCTGCATGGCAGGGGGTTGGACTGTATGGCCCTTGTGGTCTCTTCCAACTTTATGATTCTATGATTCTATGATTCTATCATCTTAATATATATTTGTTTTACTGAAGTGAAAAGAGGTTTCCAACACTCAGGATTTCTGTGCTACTGTCTCCTGACATTCACACTTTGTGAAGTAGTCGAAGGGATTAATACACAGAGGAGTTCAGATGAGTTTCCTGTCATGTTTTAATGCAGAAGAAGTCTCTCCTCTATGCATAAAATATGTTTCTCATGCAAAAAAGAAAAAAAAAGAAAGAAAAAAAGAAGAGAATAAAAAGGAGAGAGCATTTTTTGCAGTGTAAAAACACAATAATTTCTACATAGATTAATTCCACAGTTTGAACAAGGTGCAAATATCAGGAGAATATGGCAACAAAACCTTTGAGAGGACAAAATAGGCCAAAATTGACATCCCTATGTTGTGTGGTATGGAAGGGATATTGGTTTCCTTCCATATCATACTGTGGTTACTACAGGTGGGGACAGATTAATGCAGTACTATATTACATTGATAAGTGTGTGTGCTTGTGTGTATGTACCTTCAAGTCACCTGTCCACTTGTGGGAATTTCATAAGGAAGGAATACTGAGGTGGTTTTGCCAGTGCCTTCCTCTGAAATGTAGCCTACAGCACCTGGGATTCATTGGCAGGCTCTCATCCAAGTACTAACCGGAGCTGACTCTGCTTAGCTTCCAAGATCAGTCAGGAATAGCTGTCATTTATTCCTATTGGAAAGATTAAAATATACCCCTTTCCTTTCTTGTACACCTTTGCTAAGATCCTACACCATGTGTGCATAGTATACTATGTAAATCTACACTATAGAAGATAGTGTACACAAAGAAGATATTGAGAACCTGTGTGGCGTAGTGGTTTGAATGTTGGACTATGACTCTGGAGACCAGGGTTTGAATCCCTGTTCAGCTATGGAAAAGCACTGGGTGACTCTGGGCAAGTCACACACTCCCAGCCCCAGAAAAGTCCTTGATAACGCTATAGGATTGCCATAAGTCGGAAATGACATGAAGGCACACAGCATCAGCAACAAGTAGCTACTACCACCCTTTGGTTGAATGTAAGTGGATGCATATCTGTCAACATGGTGGCTGGTTGTCCCATGCAATAGGGAATGCCCACTGGTTGCTTCTTCAACCACAGTGATCAAAGCAGTACTCTGGGGGCACTGGCAAAAAGTTATATGCCATCCAAGCATCCAAAATGGTCATACGTGCAGAATTTGCACAATTGTAAATCGAATACAGTTATTGTGCAATGGCCAGCAATGTAGAACTGCAGGCATAAAGAATCTGAAACGTATGCATGAAACCAAAAGGATTCAGGCTCTTGTCTATCAAGGTCATGCTTATTTCATTTAATAGGGTAATGAAAGGCATAGGAGACGGAGAAGTAATGTAGGCAAAAGAAACTACAGCGCTGGAGGGAGGTGAACTAGCTCTGGTGGTTAAAATTGTAACACCCACCCCCTCTTTCTTACACACACACACACACACACACACACACACACACACACACACACACACTATGGTATCCATGTTTGGTACCAGCTGGGGGGGAATTCTGCCAGCCTGTTCCAAAGGGAAGCAACTAAGATTGGCAAAGCATTCAGAGTTCTTTAATTGGCACCTAGTGGAGTGCAGCCTCTACAGAGCCCTACCTCTGGTAAAATGCATACCAATGAGGTTTAATCCATAATAATGAGATGGAGTTTGCTGCATCATTAGTATGCATTCACCCAGAATTCCCTAGACATTGCCGACCTGTGGAAGGTTCCTTAAAAAGAATAAAATAAAGCCGCACCGACCAACCCTGGCCCAAAATACAGGGGGAAATATTTTCTGCTTTATTAGTGTGCATTCACTGGGGGTTTAGGCTCTTGGAATAGTGGCTGTAATAGGGCAGAGACTTCAAATTGCTCTCCAGTGGCAGTTCCCATACCACAAACTACTCTTGCCACAAATATAAATGCCGGTGTATTTTTTCCTATCTCACTCTGCCCCAATTTGGTACCCTTGAGGTGAGTGATGGGCTACAAAATCCATAATTCTTGGACAGCATAGTCCAGCATGCCTGCATGTTTGATGGAGAGCTTTGCAGTCATGTTCCTTCAGACTGATTCCCTCAATAGTTGTTGAAGAAGAAAAAAGAGAGCCAGGTGTGAAGCCTCAAGCTCATTCAGTAAAGGAAACATGGCTAAGCATGATGATGGTGATGGTGATGATGATGATGATGATGAATATCTACTAAAGAATCCTCAGCACTTCACAAAACTAAAACTTCCAGGAATCTAGGGGAGAAAGCCTAAATAAATAAATAGATAAATAAATATTGACAGATATAAAACTGGTATAATATTATACCATACACAGATTAGGCCAAATACATTGGCTGGTGGCTCCCGATTTAGCAGGTGATAAATCCACTTTAGTTTGTACTTTAGAGAAACTGTTATAATGATTATTATTGTTAGGGGTTTACAGTGGCTGCCCACCACTGAGAAGGACCTGCTTCATGTAAGGATGCAAAGAATATTTGGAAATATTAAAAAAAAAATGATCAAAACTCATGACAAGAAACCACGATGAGAAAGATGCTGAAATGATCAGAAACTTCGCAGTTTGAGACTTATTCTGTGCAAAATTTGCTCATGGCTCTTTTGCATTGCAAACAGCATTTCTGGATGGGGAATAATATTTCAATACCGAAATATCAATTCCTGCACAGAACATGCAGTTTTCTGTCTGGAAAATGCTATAATTGGGGACAGTTTATTCTGCATAAAATTCACACATAGAAAATTGAATTTTCTATGCAGGAATTAATATTTAGGCACTGAAATATTATTTTGTGAACAGAAAATGTGCAGAACATGCTGTTTTCTGCACAAAACAACCATGTGCCAACTTTGCACAGAATAAGTCGGGAACTGTGAATAGCAACTGAAAAATGCATTGTTTTTAAAAATTCTCACAGTGAGAAGACAATTGGTGAAATTACTTGTCGGGACTTTCAAGAAGAGGTTTAGGGACTGGGTGCATCTACACTGTAGAAATAATGCAGTTTGATCCCACTTTAACTGCCATGGCTCCATCCTACACATTCCTGGGGTTTGTAGTTTGGTTAGACACCAGTACTCTTTGGCAGAGAAGGCTAAAGACCTTGTCAAACTACAGATTTCATGATGTCACAGTCTGGAGCTACAGCACTTAAAGCAGTGTCAAACTGCATTATTTCTATAGTGTAGATGCACCATGAATGAAGAATTACATCCTTAATTGCATGTTCCCACCATTGTGCTGGTGAAGGTGATGGGACCAAAAGAAGATTCTCTCCTGAAGTTCTCATTGTTGACTGATATGAGGAGATATAGGACCGATGCAGACTGGCCAAAAGGGCCAGCCTGGGGGTGGAGTTGGGGCGGGAAACCACACGCTGTCCGCCCCGACTCTGCTCCGATGCCATGCGCCTGTCCACATGGTGCGCAGCATCATGGTGCCCTCTTGGTGCAACATGCATACACGCTGCGCCAAAGGGCTCAACAGAGCTGTGCTGGTGGCTCAAAGGGCGGCCTTTTGCCACCCCAAAAAGGGGGAGCATTTTGCTACTCTTTTTGGGGCAGCAAAAAGGAGGATCGGGGCTGCGGTGTGTGGTTGCTGCAGTCCCAATCCGCTGCTCCCAGGGAGGGTCCAGAGCCACCCCAAATGGGCCATCTGCATTGGCTCATAGTCTATCTCATAGCTGAGCTGCACAATGTTTAATAGATCACGACCTGCACTACAAATTGTCCCCAGATACAGACTGACAGCCAATGGAGTTGTCAAAACAAAGAAACTGTATGATCCATTTAACCAGAAATCCAAGGTGTGGAGCCTATTTTAGGACTATTTTATTTGATTTATTTGATTGGTACCCTTTTTTCTTCCAAAAGTGGCACAAAGCAGCCTGAAATATAGAGTTCAGCACCTATTTAAAATATAGTCTAAAGTGCAGAGCAGATTCACCACCTGACTGACATTGGCTGTATCTACATTGCCAAATTAATGCACTTTGACACCACTTTAACTGCCATGGCTCAGTACTTCAGAATTCTGGGATTGGTAGTTTTATGTGATATTTAGCCTCTTCTGTCAGAGAGCTGTGGTGCCACAACAAACTGAAATCCCAGGAATCTATAGGATGGTGCCATGGGAGTTAAAGCAGTGTCCAACTGCATTGCTTCTGCAATGAGGCAGCAGCCAAAGAAAGCCTCAGCTGCTACTGATGATATTCTTTTCTCTTCCTTTTTACTTTCTTTCATAATCTATTTTTGAGGAGTTGAAAGGGGAATGCCAAACTTTGATTACACAAAAGGTTAGCTGATCACAATGGGCTTGATTCTTCCCCTTCCCATCTTTCCTGATGAAAGCTGTCATTTGAAAAACAAGGAGGAGAAAAGAGGCTTATTCTCCACGTTCCATTAGGCTCATAATTTTCAATAAACAAGGAGTTGTTCCTCTGCCTGAAGTAGGTGTGCGGTTACACTAATTGGAAATTAGCAATGTTTTCTGCT